ATTTGGGATCTGTCCCATGGATAGCAGATCACGCTTATCGGTGTCACAGAGGCTTGGTCTTGGGGGGTGCCTTCTAATAGTTGGTCTCTTCCACTCTGATATCCTTCCTTTGCTCTGCTTTTTAGCCACTATGAACTGAGCAGCTCTCCTCTTCCACGCATATAGTCCATATAGGAATTGAGTGTAATAATTCATGTAAGTACAAATACACGGAACATGATAAATGCTTGATAAACCTGGCTTCTGTTATCCTTCTGGTTTGTGCTTATCAGGTATGACTAGCCATTTCACCAAAAATCCTGCATTTGGAGATTTTCATTTAATGGTCAGTGGAGACTACAGTTGGATTCTTATTTTAGAATAGGTAATTTGAACACTATTCTCGTTGAGATGCTCAAGATTGTTTTTTTCTAACCAGTCACAGACATTTATAATGGACAGTACACAAAAAAGCTGTCCTTTACATGGCAAGGGCAAATTCCTTTGTAGAGGATGTGGCAATACATAGTTCCCATCTCTACCCAATTATGAATTTCAATGAAGACCATCAAGGCAAGTAAGTAGTTTGGAGAAGAAGTAGGCAATCTGTTACTGGAAACACCTGAAAACTGTTACTGAAGGTGGTATAAAAAATGATCAATAATAGAGTTCTGTCTACTGTATTTTTTTCTTCCCTTTAGTCACCAGTATCTACTTCTGTTGTTGATTTACTAAGTGTTGTTTTATTTTTTTTTTGTTTCACTTTTTTCTGAGTATCTATCCTTTTAATTTTCCTCTTTGACAAACATTTGTGGAGAACCTACTAGGTACCGATTTTCTTTTATGCCAAAAGTGACCTTTCATATTTCTTTTTTTTTTCTTAACATGTCTGTTCTCTCCACCTTTGCCTCATTCTGTCCTCATTGATACCTCACTTTGTGTGGCCAGAGCGGAAAAGGGATGTTGATAGGATTCCTCTGCTATCTTCCAACCTACTCATACTTATAATGCATCAAATTGTTTCTATTTGGCATAAAGGTCTAATAACTTGGTACACATTTCCAACATTTTCACTGTCTCATGGGTTTATGGGTAGTGGAAATTCGATTACATTTGCTGAGTTGCAATGGGAATAGATGGAGGCCATTAACATTTCTAAAAGTGAGAGGTTGGGAATAAATTTGTTTGAGGAGACACAAAATTGTGCACGGCATCAAATCAGATGACAATCCTAATTTGTCAGATAAAATTTCCGGGAGAAAGAGATAAACAGTCTTTAAAGTTACTTAGCTTCTATTATCCCTGTAAAGGAAATAATAGGGTTTGCAATAAAAAAGGGAAACAGATAGTTTTGATTTAGTTAGGTGTGGTTAAGCATGAGATAACTGTGATTTGAATCTTGGTTCTTTTCCTCCTTGGCTATGTCATCTTGGGAAAATTACTTCTCTTTAAGGCATATTTTTAATCTGTGAAATGGAGATAATATAGATGCTCAATGTAACTGTAAGCAGTTCAAATAATGTACAAAAATATAATCTCATATCAGATACATCAAGTACGTAATGAGTGACAACTATTAATGTACATTTTATATTACTCTTATAAAAGAAAACATTTCCACACTTAAAGTTTAAATCGTTCTGATAAGGTTTCAGTGTTAGCTCCTTGGAAGGGACAGAAGAAGAGATGGATTAGGAGGGAAATCAGAGATACAAAAAGGACCGTAGTCCCTTGTCTAAATGAGTTGAATTTACTGACAATGCACATGCAATCATGTACATATTATGCATATTTTGAAAACAGCAAAAACAAAGGAAACCAAAAAAAAAAATCAAACTTTAAATCGTTCCAATTTCGAATTATGACTATGTGACAGGCTGTGTGCCAGCTGGCCCACGACTGTGATATGCACTAGAGAAGTTGGGGCTGTACATTCTGGTGAAATCCAACTGAGGTCTGCAAAAGCCTGTTTTGACACTCCCCCTCCCACGTCCAAATTGGAGAGGAAATGCTTGATCCAACATTCTCCAGCAGGTGCTGAATTCTTTTTCTTTTGCCTCCCCAATCACTGCCTTAGCCTACTTACAGAAAACCAGCTTTACGTCATTACTTCGTATGTTTTCTTCAATTCTTCAAATGTTTTCTAAGTTTTCTGGTTGCATGCTTTCTTAAAATAATTAATTCTAGGAAAAACTAATTATCCAGCTTGTATAAGTGTCAAGAAACTTCATTGTTAAATATAGACATTATGTAATTTATTGTAAACTCTGTCACTCTGATTGATGCATTCAAAGCACTATTTGAGAGACTACACTGTTTTTCCTCTCTCACATCCTGAAAAGAAAATGAGAAAACATAAGCATTCTTAATGTTGTGAGTTTCCATTGTCTTTGTGATTCTGAAATATGATTTTAAACTAAGGTTTGTAAATAGCTCCTCCCAGGCCGAGTCATTGCCTAGGATAATTTATGTTGGCTTGAAAGAGAAGAAAATATTTCCTTGATTTTGCTATGCAGGGAGCAGTAACAAGTTTTGATGAGCTGAAATTTCTTATTCGAATGGCTTGCAAGACAGTTATAAATTGAATTTTATACCACTTTCATCGTAATTTTACCTTACATAAAGAGATCATATATATTTAAGAGTAGTATATTTCTAATGGTGAAACATCTCTTTGTCTTTTATTCAAAGCAGATTAATCTGCCTATTCTCTTGTTGTCCCACTTGAGTGACTTAGTGTTTTAGGTGCAGTATTAAGTCTCAGATTAATGAACATTTTATTTAACCATAGGTTGGAATGAAAACTGGAAGAGTGTGTATTTCCTTAGTTCAGGCAACCCTTGGTGAGTAAATACGCATCATTTAAGAAAAACAGGAAGTAGGGAGAGAGATCTTTTGCAAATGGGAAGGAGACCAAGAGATGGAAGGAACGGGGAGGTTGAGAGGGAAAGGGGACGAAGAAAAAGAACTGAGGTGCATTAGGTACACGGACCAACTCCTGTACTGAATGAGATTATTGTGTATGGCAAACACGTACTAATAAAAACTAAACATTGAAAAGAACTGCAAGGTCTGAAAAACCTACTTACATTGACAGAACAGAAAAAAAACACCCCACAAAATTAAGAGTGAATTCTTTATACATAATTAACCCTCTAAAAGGATTCGCTAAGAGTTACCTAGAGAGAAAAATCTCCCAGTAGCTTTTAAATGGTATTTTGAAAGGCAATATAAGGAATCTCATCCATTTTTCCAAAGCACATTGTGTTTGTTTAAAGTAAGTCGCGATGGTGGGTAAGTGGAAGACAGTGTAGCGAGATGGAATCAGGCAACCAGCAGGAGAGGAGTAGTCATTGGGATAATAAGATAAATGCATTGTGGGTCTCCATGGCAACCCGGGACCCCAGCTGTTCTTCTGCCCCAGCTTGGTGCCAAACAGCCCACCTGTGCCAAGTCTCATCCTGGTTTTGAAACGAATGTTTTCATTGCTACATTAAATTGTTCTGAGGAGTCTGGTTTATGAAACAGTACCAAGTACTTTCCTGGTTCATACTCTAATGCACTTACTTATGCAGAAATGTTTTTCTAATAAGTGCTATAATTTTTCTTTTACAGAGATACATTTAGGGTGAGCACAAAGAAAGAAAGCACACTTTCATGCTACATTTACAATTCATTAAGGTTTGCAGGGAGCTTTGTTCAGGACCTTAGTTGGCTTGTTTTCCAGCCGAGTTCTGGGAACAGTAACACCGTCTCTCATCGAGTGAGGTGTTTGCAAGGCTTGCTACTGATGGTTAGAAAGCTTTTCAGAGGGCTTCTTCTTCCTTACTGTTTCTTCTTTGCAGCTTCCATCTCTTTATGAGGTGTGGGCCCACAGATAAGACTTATTTCACCGTGCACTTGTTCCTTGTCTGTACAACGAGGGTGATCCTTGAATTTAACCTCACTCAGCCTTGTCAAGATCGAGTGAGCTAATGTATTTTGAAAGCTCTAGTCATAGTACCCAAGAATATCTGCTGTTATTATAATTATTCCTTTATCACCTCAGACATTGTATTTTTCCTCTGAGCCTCAATATCTCACCCAGTAACCTCAAGAAAATACTTCAGCTCATCTCATCCCACTTGCTTTCTTTCAGAACTGGCTCTCGCCTCAAGGAGGACGGTAGAATTCACGAACGTGCTCATACACTTCCTAAAAGGTCTTTGTAGTCTTAGTTCAAGCCTACGGCCTTGAAAAAAATGTTCAAAGGGTTAAGAAAATTGAGCCTGGCTTTGTTCTTCTTAGGATCACTGGAGAGATGGTCTTAGTCATAAGTATAGCTAGTTATCGGCATAACTAGTCACAAAGCTAGTTAGTTATGTCAAGTCGAGGGCCAAGCAGTAGACAGATAGGTCTGGTTCACACTCTACTTCTGCCAGTGATTATGCCCCAGGAAAATGTATTAAATTTCATAGAGACTAAAGAGCACCTTGAAAGTATCTTTAAAGTGCAGCTAATAATAAGTCAGGGGATTGTGTAAGTACCACATATGGTGCATGAAAAGCACAGAGTAAGTCCATAATGCTTTATTATTATCATTACTGCTAAATAGAATAACATATTCTTTGGCATAAAATTTATTTTAATGTGAAAGTCAGGATAGCGATGTATCTTACCTTATTCTATAGGACCTAGATGTGAATAAACACTTAAGATGTAATTTCCTCTTCTTTGTGCTCTGTTATATAAATAGTGCTAATACTGGAGTGGAACAGATTTTGTATTCCAAAATAATGCCACAGTCAATGGCAGAACAAGGAAAAAGTGCTAAGTACACAGTGAATTCATTAACATGTTTTTCCAGCCATAATACATACATATATATTAAGATATTCTAAGCACTGAGACAGCTACTGAATACAAAAGCACATAGACACAATGTACAAAAAAATCCAAACTTTTGTGAAAGAATAAAAAATATATATGATAGATATTATCTACTAGAACAGATAGATTCTCTGAAGAATTGGCTTTGTTACCTGTGTTGGAGCCACTAACTCTAGTTCAGAAGTAGATTCAGAGTTCAGGGCACTTTTCCCACCACTCAGTTCTGGTTGAGATCTGTGCTCTGAGGACCTGTAAGAGGTACATTATGAAAATTAATGTACACCAAGAACAAGAAGCTAGTTCATTTGGATAACCGAAAGTCACAATAACAAAGCTCTCCTTAGGACGGTGATGAACAAGTTAAGGTTTGTAAATCTGTAATATAAGGACCACTTTCAAGTATCTTCCTATAGAATTTGAAATAATTAAGTGGAGATGTGTGAGGATAACAGTAAGCTGAAACAGGACTACTTTTAAAAAAGCTTCAAAACATAGTAAAACTCAGGTGGCCAGATTTTTGCATGGGTACTGTGGATTATTCTTTTTTTTGGGGGCGTACCAGGGATTGAACTTGGGTCCTTGTGCTTATAAGGCAGGCCACTGAACCGCTGAGCTAAATCCCCAGACCACTGTGGATTATTCTTAATTGTTAAATTATCTGATAGTGGTTAACTGAAGAAACCAGAGAAGGTTATCCGAACGACCAGAAAAATGTAACTGTCACATATATAATATATTAAATATATTTAGATATGTATATACTTATATGTATCTATTTTGACTAATAGCTCAAACATATATTCAGAAAATTATCAACATACATTGTATCACAAACCTCCTGAAACTCTTATTGATTGAATTAATTTTTGAGAACTCAGATGAAATAATTTAAAGCTGATAAAAGCCATAACAATTAACATTGTAATGTAGGAAGTTATTATACAAGACACCAAGTGTTTGGATTAAGTGAGCTCTCAGGTTATTTCAGTACATGAAAGAAACACTCACGCAGGTGGCACACAAGTGGCTATTTTCTAGTGTTTACGTATCTTACCATAAGAGCTCTTTTGATCCAGTTCTGGATGAGCAGGATTTTCTCTCTGCCATTGGATGATGCCCTTTGCCGTTTCGATCTCCATGAAACTTAACATCGTCCCATTTTTCCAGTTGCGTTTGGATGTCTATTAAGGAGAAAGGGAGGGAGCAAGGTAGACCAGGAGAGAGCATGAGGCGCAGAGAGAAGAAGAGAGATAGGTTAAGACTGAGAAGTTTTATCCAAGTGAATTGTACTCAATCTATGCTCATAAGACCCAAGGCCAATTGCCTTTTCAATGTGGCATAAAAGTTAATTAATTAAAATGTATTCCAGTAAATAAAATGAGACATAGTAAGATAAATTGGACTGTTTTGACAATTGAAGCTGACCTTACTGAACTCATCTCAAGAGCCAAGTGTATTCTGAATCTCGTGGATGAGCCCCATAAGGTCTGGTGTTAGGAAATGCACATGGAGTACCTTCTATCTGATTCCAGCTAAGGAGGTGGCTTTAGGTCACTTTTGGAAGGATTCTAAGAAGACATTCTCCATAAAGAAATGAATTTCAGTGTTAAAAGCTGGTGGGAAGAAACCAGAATGGATCGGTGAGGCCACTTTTCACCAAAGGAGATAATTTATAATGGGGATGGAGAGAAAGGAGGTAATGGAGAAAGCTAAGAGAATGCTGGAACCGTTTCTTCCCAGTACCTTAACTTTTACAGAAAGAAATTGTGGTTGCATTCTTTCTCATTATAGCTGTGTGAATGAACAAACCATTTAACTTGGGGTCCTTATATGTGAAGTTATTCTTGCAGTGGGTGTATTCTAAGGTCTTTTACTTCTGCTTTTAAAAAGTGTGTGCAATGCACACAACAAAATTTACCATTTAACCATTTTAAAGTGTACAATTCAGGGGCATCAGTACATTCACACTGAGGTGCAACTACCGTCACTATTTCCAGAACTCTTCCCATCATTCCAAACCAAGGCTTTGCCTTTCAGACCCTAACTCCTCATATCTCTTTCTCACACACTTGAGTCAGTTCTGTTGTATTCTGTCTCTGTAATTTTGCTTACTCTAGGCACTTTGTGCCTGTAAATTCACTCACTGTCTGTCTTTTTGTCTTTGCCTTATTTCACTCAGCATGTTTTCAAGGTGCACAGGCTTCCAATTTCCAAGTCCATTTCTTGCTCAGCTCTTTCTCCCCAGTTCTAACCTGTATATTTCACTTGATCTTAGCCAAAATGCTGAGAAGCGATAGCCCATATAATTAATAGTCTATTGGACCACAGTTTCTTCACACATATAGTTCCAAGCAGAACTAGGTAGTGTTCACCTCCATGCCCTCCTCTACTCCTTTCCTTCTTGTATCCTCTGTTGCAGATTTGGCATGTTCTTCCTTTCTGTCCCTGTTAGTTGACTAAGCACATTCATTTGACTCCCAGATCCTATTTTTATACATATTTTTGAGCCTGTCTCTTTTTTGCCTCCTCCTTTGCCACTGCTGGATCTTTGCTTTGTTCTCCTTGCCTTTATACCTCTCCCTATACACTGATCAGAGAAGGATTTTTGTAAATACAGTTGGTTTCTGTCACTGTTTTCAGGTAAGTTCTTCAAGCAACACCCCTTTTTACGCAACCTTAAGGGCATGGCATCCTTGGACTCTCATACTCTCAGACTCCATCCATGGCATTCTTTGTCTGGCCACTAGTGTCTTTCGGATATTTTTTCTTACCAATCTATCATCCTTGAATGCTATTGCAGTACTCCTATTTACTTGAAAAGACATTTTCTTGTGTTTACTTGACTATTCGTGTGTGGATATCTTCCTTTTCTGCACCAGGAATGTTTCTCTACCTCTTCTGATCTACCATCTGGCAAATTCCTACTCATCCCTCAAGAGTCATGGTGCATTGTATAAGGCACCTTCTTCACTCTGTAATTTTGTCAGAGACACTACAGAGATATTCATGTAGTAACTGATCTGAGCTTCCTTTTATTAAATATGTAGTTAACACTATACCATAAATACCTAATCATTTTCTATTTCCCCACAGGACTGTTAACTTACTAAGGGAGAGAAAGCTTATTTATTTTTGTATTGCTATGATATGTTCCTGGAACACAGTAGGTACAAATATTTTCTAGACAAACGAATGCATGAATTCATGCCCACCTTGTATACATATCACACTGGTAAGTAATTGCCCATTTGTATCTTATTAGTGCTTCCTAATATTATGGGTAAGCTATGAGAATGTTCAGTTTCTGAACATATTTATTCATGCATACACAGACATGCACAAGCATACTAGTCAATCACAGCCAGAAGAGCCAGATATTTCTCTTGGCTTTTTGAAAAACCCATTGTTTATTTTTCTCCCAAGAAAAGAAATGCTGCTTTGATTAGTTTCATGAACTGAGCATTAAGCTTTCCTTTCTTTGGAAGATACAGAAAGGGTGGATAAAAGTATGGGCTTTAAATTTAACTACATCTGGGCTCAAATTCCAGCTCTTCCTCTTGCTAGCTATGAGATTTTGGGCAAATTAATTATTAAAGCCTGGTTTTTCATATATTTCAGAAATGTGACAATTTAATGAGACCATATGTGTCACTCATGTAATGCATGCAGTTCCTGGGTATTATAAATCAGAATAAGTAGTTGCTTATTGTCGAGGACACATCCTCAAATTTACTGGATGCTTCTGTTTTGTTTGGCTGTCCCTGGGCCTTGTATTAGGGTTGTTTACTTCTGTGTCTCCCTTTTATTCTCTATTCAGAGGCCTTGGAGAACAAGATTCATGTCTACCATGGTGCCTGCCATCTATCAAGAAGACAAGTCGGGTGTGGAGGTGCACACCTGTAATCCCAGCACTCAGGAGGCTGAGGCAGGAGGCTCGCTGTGAATTTGAGACCAGCCTGGGCTACATAGTGAGTTCCAGGTCAGTCTCAACTATATAGTGAGATCCTGTCTCAAAAAGCAAACAAACACACAAACAAACAAACAAACGAACTCAATGTATGTGGGTTGAATACTTAGATGAATGAATCAATGCCAGTTATGCAGAGTTGAGTGCCCCAATGGTTATTCAATTCAGTCACAGAAGTGACAATGCCATGCCTGTCTCTTTTCCTTCTTGGTCCACTGTTGTAATGTCATCCGCAAAACTTCCCTGTTGTGTCAAAACCAGCACAGCAAAGTTGAGCAGCAGCCACCAAGAACTATTGCCTTACCTAGATCTAAGGACGAAGTCTCTGGGACTCTGAGAGGCTGGCTTCTCTGTTCAGCATCTGCACTGATGAGGTCAGAACCATCGGCCTTTTTCTTGAGGGATGAGGGTTTTGATGAGGCCTCCAATTTCTTAGCTTTGGTTTGGGTTTGAGACACTGGTTCACTCAGGTCGAGGAGATCTAAGCCAGTGGTCAACACTATCAGAAATGGAAGAGATTAAGATAAGCACATTTACTGCTTCTTAGCTTTTTTTTGATTTAACAGATTTCTGTTGGGTACAGAGGGAGCTCATGGTGATGGGACAGGTTTGAAACACCAAATTCAGTTGGCTGACCATTGATTCATAAATACTGTTAGGCTGCATGTTCTGTTGGGCATGGTACAAATCGCTGAGACAGAATTTAGCCCATCCTCAGCAAGGATGAAGCTTTGAAGGACATTAAGATGATAAAAGTGAACTTGAGTTCAGGTACAATTAATTATTTTGTTTCGCTTATATGATACTTTATTTTAGATTGTGGCTTTTCCATAAAATGCTCCATCTATAAAGTTCAGAGATTTAGTGATGTTTCTGGATGTCTTCATGGTTTAATTTTAAACGGTGAAGTCTATGAGGTATAAAGCAATGCTGCTAACCATCTTTTATTTAATTAAGCAGTTCAATCAGAAAATAGCATGCTGTTTGGGTTCACACTTGAGAGGTGTTTTATAATCCATAGTTGATGAATAGGTACACATGTTACTGCCTTTGCTGTTTAATGTGCAAATTTAAATTTCAATGTAACCAACTATAAAACTGTTACACTTTTACTTCCAGTAGGTTGATTACATTGTATTAAACACTAACAAAGGCAGCAATGGTAGTTTGTCCCAATGCAAGCTAGGCAAATAATTCAAAAGGCAAGCCTTGTAACCTTCAGTTCTCTCTTTTACAGTGCCAATAACTAGTATTTGACTGGCTCACTGAGAAAAACAAATTCCAATTAGAGAAGGTCCCTCCACCCGTCCTTCCTCACCAAGCCTTGCTGTCTCACTGTCGTAGCACCAGAAAGGCTGGTTGCAGCACAGAGCTGATGGCTTTCTCTTCTCCACACCCAGCTAGCTTGGGAAAGTGCAGGACAGTGACACTCTTGTCTTGAACTCTGGGCGCAGTCTGCAGCAATGCTGAGCAGTCCTCCTCTTTACCAGCCCAGCCTTTTCTCTGGGTGGGGAGTGGGTTTTGCTGATGTCTCGCTACCCTTCATTCAGGGCAGGTTTAGGGCTCTGCTGAACTCAGCCAGGGTTATCTTTAGCAGTATAGAGCCTTCATCTCTGGGGGAACCTCAGGATAGTGAGCAAAGCTTGACTGTGTTTTAAATTGAGCATAATTGACAAATAAAACTCATATGCATTTATGGCTTACAACATCATGATCTGAGCCATATATTACTTATCTGTGCATTTAGCAATTATTAATTTCCCCTGCTTAGAAATATTTTATAATAGCACAAGTGAAACAATATAGCAATTTTTTTTTTTTTTTTTTGTACCAGGGATTTCTAGGATATCCTTGAGAAGTTTTTAGAGTGTTGATTTGGTAGTAATGCATTTCTGCCTTTTTTTAATTAAAAAAACTGTCTCTTTAATATAGAGAGTGTCATTGTTTCCACACAAAAAACATTAAACAGCTATCTTCTTAACAGAAAAAAATATCAATTTTATTACATTTAATCAAAAATCATTATACGATTTTTTTTTTTTTTTGGTACCAGGGACCGAACTTGGGACCTTGCACTTGCCAGGCAAGCGGTAGAACCACTGAGCTAAAGCCCTGGCCCAAAATAGCATTCTTAAATATAAAAGCTCAGCATGTCATACTCAGAGACAGATAAAGAAAAAACCAGGTAAGAAAATACCATTCTAGATGATTTGTTGATGTCTCTATGAAAACTGATGCTTAATCATTTTGCTCTCTGATTTCAAGTCCCATCACAGTGGTGGATGCTGCTCTGAAGGGGAAATATTAGCTTCTACCACTTTTAGATGTGTGTGAGGTGTTTCTTTGACCAGACTGAGTTTGTTTCCTGATCTGAAAAATGGAGAATTATAGTCTTTCATTTTTTTATAGTCTTTCAAATATGAGATGAGGACTGAATGATTGTAATATATGTTAAGCGCCAGGCTTATGATACTAAAAAAAAATAATTTCTGGGCTTGACGTATAGCTCAGTGTTGAGCACTTGCTAAGTATGCATGAGGACCTGGCTCGATCTTCAGAATCACAAACACATACAAAAAAGTTGTTTCTATTCTTGGGAGGCCAATTTGTCATTTCTTCCCTTGTTTTTGCTCTCCCACCTTCCCTGTTCCTTCCTATTTCAGTCGAGAATCGGATCCACACACTGAAAAAAAGAAACTCTATTGGGAATAAAACTGAGGATGAGGTAAAGACATCAGTTCTACAGAGGGTTCTATGAAGTATATTTATCATAAAATGCCCTAAAAGTGTCAGCTTATCTCAGCTGAGTCTTCATGAGAAGAGAGGAGCCACTGTGTAACACTAAGATCCTCGGAGATATGAGGAGTGTTCTGTGGTTAGAAAGTACTTGAGTGTAGAGGGAAAAGAAGTGGCCTTCAGAACTAAGCTCCTTGGCTTTATGTCTAAAATTTAAGCATGGCAGGCAGCCAGGACAGGCTAGGACACCACACACTTCATGTCCACGGAATGGTTAAATAAAAATTCATAGGCCACTGTTAGTTTGGCAAGGATTCTAGGCTCAAGTGCAACTTCCTTCTAATAGAAGTAAGGAAGAGGTTGCCATTCTCTGGAAATCTGTCTATCTGTCTATCTATCTATCTATCTATCTATCTATCTATCTATCCATCCATCAATCATCCTACTGTATAAAGAAGTAAGAATTAGTCACTTACTCTTAGGCTTCTTTCAGAAACCAAGTATAATAGGAAGCATCCACTTGTAATAGTACATTTGTTAGAAAGTAATAACTGCTGAGCACTAATTTATTTCTCCATCTGCTTCTCACCATTCAGAAGAAATAAATCATGAAAAGAGTAAACTGAAAATTCAAACTTGGCCCCGCAGGATTCTTTTCCTCTCCAAAGTGTCTTGGGCACGTCTTGTGCTTGTTCTGAGCTCTGTGTGAAAGCAACACTTGCCATAAGCCAAGGCCCCTTTTTGTTACCCCCTTGATGAAAGAGGTGTTTTGGAGGTTGATGGGCAAGCTTTGAAATTGGGAGGGTTCATGACGACCACAGTTTTGAAACAGAAGGCTAGAGGCAGCCTTCCACTCTCTAGAGATCACAGTTTAGTAGGGGTGTGCATCCCTTAGGTAAGACTTAAAAACAGAAATCTTACTGCTCCACGTGTTTCATTAAGTGTTCACAGATATAGAAGGGGAGGTATGTTTTGTTGATTTTCTTAACCCAACTTAAAAAATTCTCTTAGAAACATGAAAGTTTGTGTTCTAATATCTGGGTGCTTAAAGTAACAGCACAAGGGATAGCGTCCTTTTATGGTGGATGTGAACATGTGCGTATGTATCTGTACATGCATGTAGAATTAAATATCTTCTAGGCCTAATCTTATTTTCACAAATAAAGACTTTTCTCCGTGGATGACATCAGTTATAACTCACAGCTCGTAGGGGTGGGGACCCATTGTCCAAAGGAAGTCATCCCTTTCATTTCCATCTGCTGCAACAGGGACCCCAAGCTTAGTAACTTCTGAATGGGTCATTATTTTCCTAGTCGGTCCTTGGAGCACTTTGCCCTGTCTTTTCCACCTCAGTTCTGCCAACCCAGTTTGCTGTGTGGACGTTATGTGGTCATTATGCACCAAATAGGGCAGAATGGAACAGTGGCAGAGACTGCCTGGTTCAAATCCTGGCCCTGCTGTTCATTAGCTGTGTGACTTGGGAAGGTATTTAGTCCCTAAGTTTCTGCTCACCTAACATAACAATAAAACTCTGCTTCATGTAGTAAAACATTAAATGGAGTGCTTTATTTAAAGTCCTAAGAACAGTGTTCATGATTCAAATAAATATGATCACAATATAACCACAAGTGTTCACCTGAGCCAGGAGATGTGGTACAGACTGTTCATATGGTGGATTGAACTGGATTGAACTGGAAGGCTCCCACAAGGCCATGCAGTGTCTATAAGTACTAGGTGGCTTCCTTGGGCCTTGGGAGGTGAAGCTACTTAAAACAAAAAATACCCTTTATCATGGAACCCGATTTTGATAGTTTGGTGGTATGTCCAATATTATTAACCACAGCACAATGAGGTGTGATTTAAATTCTCAGTGAGCTCAGAAACTTTTAAATAGATATGCCAAATAGATAAACTGCACTTAATCCAATAAACATTTTAAAATTGGAGTTTGAAAGTAGACATTTCTCATATGTCTGAGCCTTTTCAGAGGCACATCATTGGGTTCACAGCCACTTGAGCCTTATAAAAATGTATTTCATAAATGTCACACTAAGTTTACAGCTAAGATATTGTACTAGGTGACTGCGGCAGGATTGGGAGCTTTGTTAATTGTGGTTCTTGCCTCATAAATAAGGGTGCCATAGGCGTACAAACTCCAAATAAAAGTATGATATTAAATATGTTTTAGAACATGGAAAATATTCCCCCTAAAGTAACTATTCACCCAATGTCTAATGTCTGTGGATAAGATGTTTTAAAATGATACAGCTCGATAAATACAAACACTTGTTTTTCTTCTTGATCCTTAGCAGAGCCTGTCCTGTGCAGTAGCATACATTAATTAAGTTTACTGGGAGATTATAGAGCAGTGAGGACTATTAAAAACTTTATAAGTATTACTTGGACTATAGTTTAATCACTCGTTAATATCCATTGTCTACTTTTAGAGCATTTGACTTATGGATATGTACATAATATTTATTTATTTGCCTTTGTAAAATCAAAGATTTTAACTGTTACTGCACCTTACCATATAGGAATACAGGTTGAGAAGGTCAAAGAATTAGCTATCTACATGGATGAGATTAAATAAAGAGAATTTAGGATGTCAATGGAAAAAAGAAAAGGCAACATCCTTAAGGAGTTAGCTTGAAATTATTATCGGATGACAAAAACAAGCAGGAAGTGAAAAAAATCAAAACACTTAAAAGTTATAATTAAAACTTCTATGAGGCAAAAGATACATTCTTTTAAGAGTTAAAAAAAACCCCTCATCATTTGACTCAACATTGGGAAAAATACTCCTATTGCTTACTTTGTGTTGCTCTATATAAGAACCACATTCTTTGGGGACTTAAAAGAAAGTTTCTTTCTTGAGATATACTTTTAAGATTAAGAAACATGTTATCAGCCATGAGTCTATAAAAATGAACTCTTGGGCTACAAATGAAGTCTGTAGTCTCAGCACTCCATTTTCCCAGCCCCATCCTTTGTAAAATGTTATGGATCGAATCTTGCCTCTCCCCTCCTACTTATGCCCATGACCTAACACCTCAGGATGTGATTTCATTTGAAAATAACATTGTTATGCTGCACAAGGGTAGGCTGATACTCCAAAGTGTTTCTTGTCTTCATCAAAGGAGACATTTGGACATAGAGTCTGCCCGAAGAGTGGGACACACATACACAAAATACCACCGAAAGACAGAAGTTATGCTTCCATAAAGGAACGGACTACCAGAGAGAGATGAGAAGAGAGACCTGGAGCAGGCTCTCTCTCAGAGCCTTCAGAAGGGGTGTGGTCCTGCTCCCATTTTGACTTTGGGCTTTTAGTTTCCAGAACCATTTGACAGGAGGTTTTAGTTGTTAATCTACTCTGCTAGTGGTAGTTTGTCCCAGCTGCCCCAGGAAGCCCATAAAAAAGGTAATGCCTTAGGTGTTCGGATTGTAAGAAATTACCCCTCCTTTTCATTTTTTCCCAATATTTCATAGGTCTTTTCTATGTTAGAAAATTGAGATGAAAAGTAGCTTTTGAGTCAAATCTTATGTTGCTCTCTCACAGTAGGTTCTTCTTAAGTAACTTAGTTTGCTCATCAAGAATTGGAAAGTGAAGAGAAACCTAGCTCTCTGAATTCTCCTGAGTTTGCTTACAATTAGAGATACAAGTTTCTCTGCATTTTCCGGGGTAGTTTTCCAGGTTTGGAGGGCTGAGCCTATTTCACGGATCAGGAAAATAAATTTTATTAGTTTGCAAATTCACTTATTTCCTGTCTGAATGTGCCAAGTACCATTTTTATTTTTGTGATTATTCAAAGTTATAGTTGAATTTAGAAAAATGACTGTTTCAGTGTGATATTAAAAAACTGATGTAGTTGAAAAAGGGAGTGTCTGGAATGCAGCTTCTAACTTATATGTTACAGAAATAGTTGTTTTACATTAGGTTTCACAACGTGCCCAAGGTAATAAGTATTTTCTTAGACTGCTTTGTTTAACCTTCCCAAGTAACTTTGAGATGAAGATCTTACTATCATTAGACAGGTGAGGAAACTGAGGCTTATTTACTACTAGATAGATGAGGAAATTTAGCATCTCGGGGTTAGAAGTTACAGAGTTTGATCCCAGAAACTGTAGCCTGTACTTCCACAGAAGGCACCACTATCTGACACAAGTTCCCCTTGCTGTAATTTTTTAGCATTTTGGAAAAAATCCAATTTCCTTCTCCTGGGTGTACAATGAAAATATACAAGCCAACAGCCAGCAGAGGCCGCACTGGGAAAATGGAGCAAATTTAAGACAGCATGTGATTATCTCCTTCTTCCATTAAACCCTGAGCTACGCGTTCTGCGTAAGCTTTGATTTTAAACATGGCTTTTTCATTCGCAGTTGAACGACATGCCTTTGAATGTGAATATGGAGCAAGTGAAGTTAAAGCATAATGCCTGCCTCTGCTGGAGAAGTGTAACCCATGCCGGCAGCATGTGCAGTTGCTCACTGGGTTCACCCACATTCCGTGCCTGTTCCTCTACGTGCCAGGCACTGATCTGATGACGATTTCCTGCTTTAGTGTGTTTAACCTCAGAAGAATGTTCAAACAGATTAGGATGTTCTAAGAGGGAGCACGTAACATACTTATAGGACAGAAAACAATATTGGCTTTATACTGTCTTTGGACTATGGGAGAATTTAATTGTTCTTTAAATCTACGTGGAAAGACTCTCACATTTTTATTTTACCAAACTTTTGTTACCTGTAGTATTTTCAGAAATAATTGGGCCATCAACCAGAACTCGAAAAAAACTTTACTTGCAAATGGATGCTTTGCTTTCAATGTGATGCAACTAGAAATGCAAAGATGTAAATGTCAAAATAGTCACAGAAAAAATAATTGCTAACAGTAGTATAGTTATGAGCAGCAAAATCTGTTGGTAGCCTACACTGTAGTTTCTAATGAAATCAAAAGTAATTTATGAGTTTATATAGAATAGTATATGTTCTAAAGTTTTATTTGGTTGCAAATATCATTCCCTACCTAATATGCCTGGAGAAAAAACATGTGCACTTAACTATAATTCAAGTTTATGTGAGGCATAGTTAAAAGTGAAAGAATTACCGGCTGTATTGGACGTAACTGGCCTTGCAATTGCCTCCGATTTGGTTTCACAGAGAAAGTCATCGATGGAGGGACTCAGGAGGGGCCTGCTTTCTTGTTGCTCATTCACCAGCTGGGAAAAAATGAACACAGGCATTAAAAGGCTCCGTCAAAACTGCAGGATCAGGTGAGTTAAAATGCAGCCTTGCAACAAAATGGGAACAGCAAGCCTACTGAAAATAAGTACATACATAAATAAATAATGGGGTGGGGGCAAGAAAGAAAGAAAGAAGGAAAGGAAGAAGGAAAGAAGGAAAGAAATCTACCAGGGAGAGGCAAAGGAGCCTTTTAGCACTGCCAGCAGTTTTTTGGATGCAGCCAACTTTGAATTTTAAAGCTCAAGCCTTTTCCCTTTCTCTTGGAGTAGTTCTAGAATTATCCTCCAGTTTCCATATGCAGAAATGACACTTATTGAGTCACAGGGCCGATCTCTCTCCACACTCAGACAAAAAGCTGAGCCTGAGATCTGGACATCACGGGCTCTGTGAAGACCCGACGTTGGTGTGTATGTGGTGGTAAATGGGAACACATGGGTCAGCAGGTTATGAACGAGCACTCTCCTTTCCTCCCTCTCTTAAAAAACTCACTTCACCTAAAACACACCCTCTATGTTTCCTTGGAATGCTTTTGTAGTACCTAACAAATGTTATTTGAGGAGAGTAGAAAATACTGTTATGTTGATTGTACAGGCATCTAGTAGAAGTTTGTGAAAATCTATAATAAAATACATTCCTGTAAATTCAATCATGTTTTTCTAGTAGCTTGTTCTATAATTCAGCAATTTTTTCAGTTAGGTTTTTAGTGGGTCTCAGTTGTTAGTGGTAGCCAACTATTAACTTTCACTTATTTTGTACCTTTTGGAATCTAGACTTTCTATGGTTAAAAGAAAATACGCTTAGGATACACAAGTGGTTAATCCCTAAATTAACTGGCCTACTTTTTCAGACATGGCCATATAATTTTCCACTTGTCATAAGAAAATTAATTTATTTTTAAAATTCTATTTTAAGAAACATAATATGTGGAACCAAATACTCTGAAGTAACACCAAATCAAAATACTTATATGACTCTACTTTTACTTCAGTGTTTCTTTGGCCAGTAGTGTCAATGTAATAGCAATGGAAGACAAGAAGGACCCGAATAATAGTAAGTACAAGAAAAAGTGCCATTCTATTTTCCTCAAAGCACAATATGGAAGTATGTAATGGTCACTCAGGGACTGAAACCAAGACACACATTTGGTACTTTAACATATGCTATAATTTAAGTATGGGAAAATAGATCTCCATCAGAGCCTATAATTTTGATATAGAGTTGACAGTTTGATGTTCATACTTTATAATTTGTGGATGTTATTGAGAGATAAACATTGGGAATACTCTTTTAGTGTTCAAGTTATAGTGATAGGTATTTCTTAAATTATTGTTAAGTTTATGTGTTTAATATGTATAAAGTTTCACAAATTTCACTAGGAGCATCCAACACACACACACACACACACACACACACGCACACACACAGACACTTCTTGTTGGTTGTTCCTTTAATCTCTAAGTGGAATCATGAGTTCCTTCACATTTTATTTTTTGAATTTGAACATTAGTGAGTATTATCCATACTATTTATTTTGAAACATTTTTTAAATGCTGAGGGTCTGTAAGCCTCCCATGTCTGTGGGATAAAATATATTTGAGTTTTTATAAAAGTCATGGTCTATTTGATTTGAGGAGTAATGTACAATACGTTCTGGCATAATGTCAATTTTGTTATCTGGAAATGTACTTGAAAGTACTGGTACAGAATATAATACACTAGAAAATGAAGAAATGGCTAAGCTTCATGATTCTGTGACTGCTTCTGAAAATGTGACGAGTATCCCAGACTCTGTATCACATGCATAGGCGGTTCAGATGCAAACTGTGAGTTTGCAACATTTTGCAAAGGAACCACTCGTTAGTGTGTAAGTCCTGGTATAAGTTGCTCTTTTGGTCCTATGTGCTTAATGTGATGATCCTCTCCAGCCTGACGGAGCTTCAGTGATGTGGCCTTGACTTCACAATATCAAATGAGAGTTGAATTCTGCTGTTATGAGTAGGCATGGAATTTGAAAGTCCCTATTAAATATGGTGCTACATTATACTTATGTAAGTTATGTTTTACACGTTTGCATTTGTGCAATATCCTTGCTGGCCTCTAGTTCTAGGTCTTATTGACCCATTGGCTAAATTGTATAAGGCCAAGAGACCAGACTCGGTCAATATTACTGAGACTTTAAACATGAATATGTAGGCAGGATGCCACATGCTTGTCTTTGATAACCATTATTTATATGAGAAAAAGTCTAGTTTCATTAACAGATAACTAAGAATAACTGAATCCCTTAACTCATGATCTAAAAAAATATAGGTTGAGTATCAATTTTGCAAAATGCTTGGGGCCACGGGTATTTCAAATTTTGGATGTTTTTGGATTTAAATACAAAATGAAATGCCTTAGGATGGGACCGAAGTCTAAACCCTCATATGCAATTTATATACATAATCTGAAGGCATTTCTGTGTAATATTTTTAGTAATGTTAAAATTATTTAAAATCAATATATAAAATAAAATACATATTAAAAATATGTAATCTTTCTCTGCAAATCATCACATGAGGCCAAGTGTAGACTTTTCCACTCATAGCATGATGTTGCTGTTTAAAACACTTCACATTTTGGAGCATTTCAGATTTCGGATTGGGGATGAAATAATTTTTATGTAGATAAATACAAATTATATTCTATGAAAATCTCCTTGTACTCTTTTTTTTAAAAAAGAGCCAAGAATTTATCCCTATAATTTTGTGCATCATATGCAGAATAAGCCTAAATCATCTATAGTTTTAGAATGTCAGGGAGGTTGATTTCTGTACTTTTAGTCCTCAATGCTGAAAAACTATAAATTTGAAAGAATTCTGGAAAGTAAGAGCATTATTACAAAAACATCCAAATAGGAAAACAAAGAAAAGGCACAGTTAGTGAGAGAGTTGTCTTTTCAAAGGAAGTTTTAAAAAATTCTTTCATTCAAGTTTTTTGATATATTTTCTGGAGAAAGCACCTTTAGCATTCAGCATAGGTAGAAAGGTATACAACAGGGAGCTTGTTTGCAAGACTAAGGGAGCCCAGGACAAAGACATGGCTTCTCCTGTCTGCTAGGCCTCTGCCTCTAGAGGGCCGTGTCTCTCCCACACCTACCAAATGGCCTTGTTTCTGACCATAATACACTGGTAGAGTGATGACAGCATTGTGCCAGCCTCCCTCCTGTTCCTAAGGCGCTCCTATGGTTTTCTCTCACAAATGCCAATCAAAGAGTGTCCAACAAGCTACGTATGACTCTGTGTCTTCCTAGCTGGAGCACAAGTTAGCTGTGGGGAAATGGTCTGGTTGGAGCTGAGGAGACAGCAGGACTCCAGGTGAAGAGGATGAGAGGCCAGATGACCAAGAACATGGAGATGTAATTAGGACTGAACAGGAAGTGTTTTGGCTTTGATGAAGATATGAAAGATGAAATAAGAATTCTTACATAGCTAAATTTTTTCTTACAGTCTGAGGTCAGAGACTAACTCTATCAAACTCACATTTATATTCACCACAACTTCAAAGGGGTTTAATAAATGGCTGACAAATGAGACAGTGATTTGGCAGAAACTGAAGACATGAAAATAACTATCCTCCAAGAATCCGATTAAACTGCATCTTCAGTTGCATGACTTAGGATTGATTATTTTGGCTATAGAAATTACCATTTTTAAAAATTTGTACAGATATGTATGGCTTCTCCCATGCCCCTCCCTCTTCTGCTTTTCAAACAAGTTTATGGTTTTTCCTTTGCTGACTTGAGAATAAACTCCTTTAAGATCACAAAGGAAATTGTCAAATGGAACTAAATGTCCCTAACAGTCCTTCTAGATTTCGCATCCAAGTTGTGTGCCATTTATTCTTTCTTTCATTGGTAAGATAAGGTTTATAGGCTTTCTTTTAGAATCATTTCTCTTAGAGGGGAAGTATGAACTTCCCTCATTTTACTCTTCAGGGAGAGAGTATATTGAGGTTTTTGAAAATTATAGAAAATTGAAAGTTTCTCATTTTTTTTGAATAACTGAGTTGGAGTAAGTGAAATTTTGGTTTAACAAGGTTACACTAAGTCCTTGGTGTATGAACATTTGAGTTGCGCACGTTCACAGATATGAACAGATCTCATATTACAAACATCCACAGATGCAAACAAATCGTGGAAGCTCCCATGTCTGTGGGACATTGGCACAGTTGTGCTGCTTGTGCGTACTGTGCAATATAGTACAGCGCTCAGTCAAATTCCAGGATGTCCAGAAGTGAGAGGAAAAGCAGTGGTGATGCGGAGGGGACTCCTAGGATGTGCAAAGCAACATGCATGGAGTGTTTGTGTCAAAGGTATGTAAGACTCGCTTTGTTGGACTTACAAAAGAATCCCATTTACAAACGCTCTCCCAGAACAGAATTTATTAGTAAGTTGAGGACTTAGTGCATCATAGCTAAGAAAACCCACTTCATTAGTTGTTTTTTTTTTTTTTTTTTTTTTTTTTTTTTTTTTTT